TCACCCTTCCTCTTCCATTTTAAGTCATATGTTATCTAAATTTAAATTAGGAATAAATGGAGTGTCATCTCCTCCTCATAATTGTGACTCATGTCAATGTAACAAAAGTCACAAATTACCATTTACTAGTTCCTCTATTCAGTCTACTCATCCCCTTGAAATAAGTTTTTCTGATGTATGGGTGTCTCCTGTTATCTCTTTTGATGAATTTAAATAATATGTTGTATTTGTTGATCACTTTACCAAATATAGTTGGTTCTACCCCCTAAAAAATAAATCTGATGTTCTCTCCACTTTTCAAGCATTTCGCCCCCTGGTTAAAAATAAATTTAATAAAAAAAATCAAGATATTTTACTCGGATAACGGTGGAGAATTTAAAGTCCTCACATCTCACCTCACAGCCCTCGCCATTTCCCACCATACTTCCCCTCCGCATACACCTGAACACAATGGTTATGTTGAGCACCGTCATAGGCATATTGTTGAAACAGGTCTTACCCTTCTTCACTAAGCCTCCTTACCCCCACGATAGTGGTCCTATGCCTTTCCCACAGCCGTCTACCTTATCAACCGCCTTACCACACCTACTCTCAACTTAAAATCACCCTACAAACGTTTATTCCAAACCATTCCAAATTATACAAAACTTCGTACTTTTGGGTGTCTTTGTTACCCGTGGGCACGTCCTTATACTAAACAGAAATTACAACCTCGTTCTATTGCCTACATTTTTATGGGCTACTCCTTTACTCAAGTGCATATATTTGTCTTGATCCTGCTACGCACCATATTTTTATATCTCGCCATGTTGTATTTGTTGAACACATTTTTCCCTATAAAAATCTTAATAATACCAGTCAACCACTCACTGCTTTCTCTCCTCCCCTCACGGTACCCTGGAACTCTCCTCATTATATTTTTCCCAATTCTAGGCCGCAGTTACATAAAACACCTAATCACCCACCCAACCTTCCTCCCTCCCCAAGTCATCATACCTCACCAACCCACGTGTCTCCTTTGTAAAATTCACTTCCAGATTCTCCACTTTTATCCAAGTCCATCTCCTCACATGATAACACCTCACGTACCACCTCAACACCCTCATGCATGCCACCTCTTTCTCTAAGTCAACACTCACCCCCGGTTTCGTGCTCACCCATTCATCCACCTCCCAGACGAGTCATTACTTGTTGCATGAATAATATATCATGTCCCATCAAAAAATTAAACCTCAATACTTCTGTTCTTCCGTTTGTGCCTGAACCTCGTACCGTAAACAAAGCGCTTTCCAATTCCAACTGGCGACATGCCATGTTAGAGGAGTTAAATGCCCTTGTTCGCAATGGCACTTGGACTCTTATTCCTCGGACTGGAAAGGAAAATATTGTGGGATGTAAAGGGGTCTTTCACACTAAACGTTTACCTGAAGGTTCTATTGACAGGTACAAAGCCCATTTTGTGGCCAAGGGCTTTCATCAACACCCCGAGGTGGACTACACTGAAACTTTCAGTCCAGTTATCAAGCCAACCACAATTCGTCTCATACTATCTCTTGCGGTCAGCCGTGGTTGGCCGCTCCGGCAAATTGATGTTAATAATGCTTTTTTATAGGGCAATCTTTATGATGAAGTCTATATGATGCAGCCACCCGAATTTGTTGATTCTGCACATCCTTCTCATATATGTTGTTTACACAAAGCAATTTATGGTCTCAAACAGGCACCCTGTGCCTGGTACCAAGAACTCAAATTATTTCTTCTTCGGCTAGGCTCTTGAACTCCGGGGCAGATACTTCTTTTTATTTATTCTCATGCAAATATTACCATTTACACGCTTGTCTACGTTGATGATATTCTCCTTACAAGTAGCTCTCGTTCTGTTGTTGATCCACTCATTTACACTCTTGACCGGCGGTTTTCTCAAGGATCTTGGCAATTTATCCTATTTTCTTGGTGTTGAGGTTATCTCTCACCCTGATGGTATTCTTCTTCCTCAACAACGGTACATCTTGGACCTTCTTGCCCGTACTAAAATGGAATCCTGTATTGGTGTCTCTACACCTCTTGCTCCTCACTCTAAGCCCCGTCTTACTTCTGCCAAGCCTTTACTAATCCAGAGGAGTATCGCTCTGTAGTTGGGTGTCTTCAATATTTGGCTCGTACTCGCCCGGATTTGTCATATGCCGTTAACAAATTGTCTCAATTTATGCATCGCGCGACTGATGAGCATTGGGATGCCGTTAAACACACCCTTCGATATCTCCGACAAACTAGTGATCATGGTCTGTTTATTGGTGTTCTCCCTCTATTACACTACATGCATTTTCAGATGCTGACTGGGCTGGTAATCTTGATGATTACACTTCCAAAGGAGCATTCGTTATTTTTCTTGGCATCAATGTCATATCCTGGAGTTCTCGGAAACAACGTACGGTGGCTCGGTCCTATACTGAAGCCGAGTATAGATCTGTAGCATCTACGGCTGCTGAAATCTGTTGGTTATTATCTCTTCTATCTAAACTGCATTCTTCCTACTCAACCTGTTATTTATCTTCTATTATACAAAAGAAGGATGAAATCTGAACAGTATTCTGGCCCAAAATGCTGCCCATTCGCGGGTCGGGTCGGGTCGGATCTTATTTGGGTGCAGCCCATGGTGACACCTTTGTGGTCCGAAATGGGTTTCAATTAATGCAGGCACATTATCCAACGTCAGTTTCAGTTTTTTGTGGCTCAAGGAATTCAGTTAACGTGCTGTGAAAAATCTTTAAGCATAAATAATCAGCCCACAATTTTGAACACCGAGCCTTTTATTATTAAAAAATGGGCATACCATGTACTTTAAAATCTCCAAGTCTGAGTAAAGAATCCGCATGCAAGAATTTGTATGATTGAGCCACACAAACATTTAATGTATTGTACTACATTTATAATTTGCATACGGAGTTATTCAAATTTTCAAATTTGTATCATTTTTTATTGCCAAGCCAGCACACAACAATAAATGTTTGTACTATAAAATCTCAAAATAAAGATTTAGCATGTATTAACCGTTGGATACTCACAAGGTATAAAATGTTTGCTTCATTAGACTCTCCCTTCGGCCACTATATATCCAAACGATGGGTTGGAAAATAACAACACAACGAAGCAATTCTCAAATCCGAATGAGTGGCAGGTTCAACACTTGACTAACAAAGGTACTAATCCAATTGTATGTGTTACATATATAGAAAGTATTATTCATATATAGTACATAATACTATCGTATCTATTAATATAATAACACAAATTATTTTGGAAAATTTGAAATGGAAATTTTCACATGCACAAATTGTTTACACACACACCCACCCTAACACTCACACGTAGATATGAAATATGGTTCACATATACTTTGGTTAACTATATAATTAGAATGACTATATATTATTTAAATGATGTATAATATTTATATACAGAAAATATGAATGTATATATGCAACATAAATGATATACATAATATATAACAAAATAAATTAATTTCATCTACTAAATATAATCACTTTAGCACGTAACGTCAATACTTCATACCATTTTTTATTAAATACCATAATTAAAACTACTTCCAATTATATTTACGTTGTTCACAAATATGACCCATACAATTTATATGAAAATGATTGCTAGATGATGTAATCGAGAAGGCTAATTTAAATCTGTTACGGAAAAATCTAGATCTGTATATACAATTCCCAAACCTTATTAATTATTTGAGAGAAACCCGCACCTCAGATCTAAAAATGCGTTACACAAAATATTCAGATTTTAAAAAGTTATTCAATCTCATACAAGATTCCTTTTCGATTTGTGTTCGTACACGTATTTTGTAAATTACGAACACATGGGAGATCCAAAAAATAATAAAAGTTGATACATGCATAAAAAAACATATACAAAAACGAATGACATGTGAAATATATACCACAAACTAAACATTTAAGGTTTGAGATCCTTTGGTTATCACTCACCCTCGAACATATATGACTCACTTCATAATGTGAACCGATTTCTTGAGCAACACTTGACGATAATCATCATCATCAATGTAAATGGCGGAACAAAGTCAAACGAAGGTCATCCCTCAGAAGAAAAATGGTGAAACCAAAGAAGAGAATCGAAAGAAATAACGATAAATGGTGCTATCGAAAGAACCGAAGGTCACTTGAGGCGGCCGAACGAAGGTTATACGATAAAACTAAAGGGTAATGACTAATGAGTTGGGCAGGTTTGTATAGGGTGGTTTATAACTGAGGCATTCCTGGGGTTTATATAGGGTGGTTTATTGGCCATGTTTTTGTTTTAAGAATTGAGCTGCACTGTTTGTGCCAATTGTAGATTGTTTTTTATGTTGGACTGGATGATTTGGGCGAAAAGCATCACGTTTCAGCACTGTTTTTAGTGTTGGGCTGGATTATTATTATAATGATTATGGTCAATTGTGTATCAAACAACACTGTTTTTAGTGTTGGGCTGGATAATTATAATGATTATGGTCAATTGTGTATCAAATTGTATTCTTATTACTATTGCATTTCAATATGAGTATATATTGTATTAATTATATGACAAGTAATAATAAGATCACATATTATTATTATTAGATGCTAATTGTGATAATAAATTGTGAAATTTTGTTTGATTGCAACAAACACTTTTAAAAAAAATCGCATAAAACAAAAGAATATTATCTTTATTATAAGTATATCTGAAATTATAATGTTGTTATTATTATTATTATTATTATTATTATTATTATTATTATTATTATTATTATTATTATTATTATTATTATTATTATTATTATTATTATTATTATTATTATTATTATTATTATTATTATTATTATTATTATTATTATTATTATTATTATTATTATTATTATTATTATTATTATTATTATTATTATTATTATTATTATTATTATTATTATTATTATTATTATAATTATTATTATTATTCGGACATCATTTAATTTATAAATAATCCAAAATATTAATTATTATTGATTTAAATAAACTTTTTTAAGAGTTAAGACCAATGTTTGTCCCATATAGGATTGTTATTCAAAAAGTCAATATTTTTCGCATGGCCAACTTTATGTTGCCGTATCAAGATTAACAATAGAGTTTGAAATATTGATTTGTGCTGAAGATGGTGAACAAACCGACCATATTACAAATGTTGTTTACAAGGAAGTGTTTCGAAAAATATAGATTGTAAAAATCATATGATAATATTTGTTTATTTTTACTTATTTCAAAACATACTTACTACAAATGCATGAGTCTTAACTATCTTTTCCTTAACTATAGTTTATTATGTATATTACGCCTCTAATTCCACACATTTATACATCAATTAACAATATAAACAAATAAAGATATATAGATTTTACATAATATATGCCCGTGCATCGCACGGGTGAAAATCTAGTTGTGATAATTAATGTTGGTGCCACTCATCTCAGTGTTAATCACGTTTTCCACTCTAGAATGACGCACCTTGCTTTGGAGTACCATTTCATTCGTGACTCGTGAGCATGTCCAAAATGGGATTCTTCGTGTTACTTATGTTCGATCCGAATATCAACTGGCAGACTCTCACTAAACCACTCCCTTGCCGACATTTTCAAGAATTACACACCAAGATTGGACTTCTCTCTCGCGCCTCCATCTTGCGGGGGCATGATAAGAGATAATTATTGATATTATCTCAACACTTATTTATTGTATTTATCCTAACTATTGTTAGTCATATTCAGTGGCGTAGCTAGGGGTGGGCTAGACCTGGCCCTGGCCCAGCCCAAATTTTAAAAATATCTTTATTTTTAGTGTAAAAAATTGCGTGTATTTTTTTTCAAAAATATTCTTTGTACCGGCCCAGTCTGGCCCAGGATCCTGGCTCCGCCCCTGGACTCATAGTTATCTGGTAGTTACGTACATAGATATTATCCTCAACTTGTAGTCCTATATATATGATTGTTATCAAGTTTAAATATACGGAACTTCCTCTCATATCTTCCAAGTCTTTCACATATTAGTCCTATTTTTTGTAAATAAGTTTTATTTCAGTAATATTTTCGAAAAAATCTTATTTTTAATACTTATGAGAAAATTAAATTTCAATTTTATCTATTTATATATCGGAATATTTGACTTTTTAGATCATCGGTAAAAAGCTTATCAGAAAAATGAATTACTAAGGGTTTATTTATGCAAAAAACTGTGATGATAAACTTTCAAAATGTGATTGATTGCGGTGGACCAGTAAAAATACACAATTTATGTATAAAACGATTGGGAATTTACTTTATTCATTTACATTCTACAGTATTGAGTATTGTACTCCGTAAAGCTGATCTAAAAAAAAGTACTCCGTAAAGCTTATTACCAAAAACAGATACGCTGGCGGCTAGTTCAATAATTGTCCATTTTCACTGGGGTGGGCAAACGGGTATTGGAATCGCGAATCGGGCCGGATAATACAGGTTAGGATTGGGTTAGGACCGGGTCTGGATTATAGAAAATTCAAATGGTTCGAGTCAGGGCGGGTCCTGAAAAACTTAGGAACAGAACGAGTCTTAAAATTTGAAAAAAAAAATATATCCGGACAGAGCCATTTTAAAATATATTTTAATAATCTCTATTATATTTAATACTAGTATAATATACTCTTTTTGTTTAATAACCTCTATCATATTTAATACTAGTATAAATGTATAATATACTCTGTAACATACTAACAACACACAAAAACTCTTCATGTGTTTGTGTCTTCGTAGTCACTAGAGCCTGCTCTTACGCGTGACTTTGGATGGTTGGTAGGTTCAGGGTTTCGAACCCATCCTTAATTTTTTTATATTTTGGTTTAGTTTTTCCTTTTTAAGCTCTAAAGTAATTTAAAAGTGGTTTTATATAATTATATTAAATTTATGTTTGTTTAAACTACTTCAATATAATTACAATTTTGTTATTTGTTAAGTTTAGTTACTACCTCCCTCCCATTAAAAAGTTGATCCCCACTATTCTGTCATCAATGCAAAATTTTTTAATATGTAAACTTTTTACTATAAAATCTAATCACGAATATGTATCAATTTATTTTATGATCAGTTAAACATCGTAAATCGTATGAGAACCTCTCGTGGCAATATGGAGGAAGTACATTGTTACATGTAATATATACGCAGTATTGATTTTTAATATATTTGTGAATTCGCAACTTAATTGAATTGATTCTAAATACATATTTGATTCATTCCTTATTTGATTTTTATTATTAACAAAATTTTGAATAAATTATAAATTGTGCAATTAAAATTTATTTTTAGCAAAGTTAAATTTTATGTCATGAAAATTTTAATTATGATAACATAATATTTTTCCCACAAGTGTTTTGTTATTTATAATTGATTTTACACTATGTTTTCATAATGTGATCGTTGTTTATGATCCTTAGATGCGTGATATAATTAATATAGATTCGCTCCCGCTGACTGAAATTTCTGGATACGCCACTGTTTCCAAGTCCATATAATTAAACTCCTAAATTATTTTCCTCTATTCTCTATTCTAAATGCATCAAACTTTCTTTCTTTAATATTTTTTTTTGTAAACAAAGATTGTTACTCAATGAAGTGTGACATATTCATTTAATTATCTTCATTTTAATTATGCTTGGAAATTTAATAAGCTTTAAATTGTTTTCATAGACAAATATGTATAGTGAGTAACTAGTTTCATTTCTTATGAATTTATGGTCCTCTCTTTTTAATTGGTTTATGAATGGTGATTAACATTTTAATTATGGTGATTGTGTGTTGTTTAATTTATAGATTTGTGGTTCGATATTTTGTTAACTAATTTAAAATGGTATCTTATACTTTTATTTTGAATAAATAAATACTATAATATGGTTACATTAATACGCTATTAATTTTAGAATTTTTAACTTACTAAAAACTTTGCTTGCACAGTCACATTTCTTTTTTACAAAAAGGACCGAGGACTCGGACCGAACCGGCTCGTTTCAAACAGGGCGGGTAAGGTTCGATTCCTATTTCAAAAATTTGTATACCCAAACCGAATCTATCCACAAAATGGAACCGACGATTTTTGAAAATTTATCGATTACCCGAACCGATCGAGACGTGTCCACCCCTAATTTTCATTTAACGGTAAAATAAATTGACTTTTCCAAAATAACTGAGTCGCGCATTCAGCGGGAAAAAAGTCACCTACCATGATAACACCAGTGAGAATATTACAACCATCGGCTTATGACGCTCGCCGGACATGAAACTCCGGCCAACCACTAACACGCTTCCGATGACCTGAGCGCCGGTGAAGCAGACCAAAGCAGCAATTGCTAGACCGCAAGCCAAGCTTCTGGGCAAGTAACAGAACTCCCCCGCCAGCCGGAGATCCTCTTTCTGCAAAAAATATTGTCACCGGAAAAACAAGAATCCGATCGTTAACCCGAACTCCGGTATCAAAGATTGACGGCAGAAAACAGATATACGAACTCAAAACTACCTTTGATTTCTTAAATTCAGCAACGATGCAGAGCGTGAAGGAGACGAGGCCAAGGGTGACCACAAATGAGATAATTACAGGGGAGATGAACCGATGATGTTTTTTTCCCATAAGATTATACGGAGTATATTTCTTTATGGTAATTTCTCAAAAACTAAATAACAATGTTTTTTGAATTATTATAGGATGGAAGTTTCAAAGAAAAAACATTGGGTTAGCGGTGGATCTGGATTTGGGTCAAGTTCTGTGATCTGTAATGGCATCATTGTGGGGGAAGGTATTAGTTGGAAGCATTTCCTCCAAAGCAACATCTCAATGCTGCTTGTTGGATTGGGAGAAGTATAAATTATTAATTAATTCTTTAGAAAGCCAAATTAAGGGTTAGAAGTTTCTTGTTCTTCAATTCATTTGTGATCAACTTGTGAGGTCAAACTGCAACAGCTTGATGTGATTTTGATTTGGAAATGGGAGTTTTAAGATTTAAGAATGAGGAGTTCTATTAGACCGAGGATTGATGAAAATGATACAACTTCTTTCATTTACTGATTGGGTGCAAAAGAGTTTGTGTAAATTAGTCAATACCTTACATTTTTGTGCCATTTCCGTCATATAATTAAGAGGTCGTTTGGAAACACTGATTACCGGCTTATCAGATTTATCAACTAATCTTTTCACCAAACATGTAATTTTTGTTTTCGCGCGCTGAATTGTGTAATAAGTAGAAAAAGTAAGATTGAAGTTACTTTTCTGGTGTATTCGTAGAATTGACGGTGGATGACGATTTTGGCTATTTTTATACTCGCTCCGTCCCAGAAACAAGTTCCCGGGTTGACTTTCACACATTTTTAGAAAATAAATTTACTGAGGGGCAAATTTTACTGTTTCCACACTGTTTGACACTGTTTTGCACTGTTTGACACTGTTTTGCACTGTTTTGATGTAGATAATTTGCCAAATAAGGAAATGAGAAGTTTATTCTGGGACATCCAAATAAGGAAAGTGAGAACTTGTTCCGGGACGGAGGAAGTATATAAGTTTTTCTTTATTTTATTAATAAAATATATTTTAAAAATAATTTTTTCTTAAATCAACAGAATCAGTCAATGCAGCCACTTCAGCCAGAACTTCATAAATTTAAGAAGAATCAGACAAATCGGCCAATTTTCATGCTACCAAACAGGCTCTAAAGCTTCAATTCGAGTTTTGTGGTCACTTGGGTCAACAACTCAACGTGACACTTTCCTTATTTGATCATAGCGTGGGCATAAAAACCAATTGGTATCGGACCGATTCATAATGGTACCGAACCCAATATCGGGTATTTAAACGGTTCTATAGAATTTCACCTCGAACTTAAATCATACAGTCTGAAATGGGTACAAGACCGGTTCTACATTTTGAGAACCGAAAAATACCAAATCGGACCGTTAAAAAATAATGCATTTAAGATTTTTATATTTTTTCATACCGAAAAATACCAAATCGGACTGTATTGTAAGCCAGTTGGCAAATGATCTCTTGAATTAATAATAGTGTTGGTCTCGGTTTCAAAAAAATATATATTAAGTCATAACCAATTTTATCTCAAATTCGTATTGCTAGTATATCTTATCCTCCGTATTAAATATTTAAAATTTTATTTCAATTTTGTACTATCTTATACTACGTATTAATTATTTAGATTTACAAAAAATCTAGCAAATAAAAATAAATTCAATAACGAAAACGCAATGCCAGATAAACCCCATGTATTCAGTATTTTGCACTGTATGTACAACTTTTATTTTGAAAGTTATATTTTACTTTTACTTTGAATCATAATTTCTTTAATTAAAAACGAATGATGAATGAAACACACAAAGCTAATCAGATACTCCAACCGTCCAAGCAATTCGCTTGGCTAATCAGATACTCCGTATTGTTCTTCAACAATGTAGTGGAGCAGAAGTGCTAAATTAGATGTTTGTTCCATGCGTCACAAAACCTGTCAATCAACTAGACTGTTAGTCATTACATTTTCTTTAATTTTGCTAATTAAACTCTTGTGCTCCAAAATTTGACAAGTTAGCTAGCTAAAAACGAAGAACCATAATGAGGTTCACTACGGAAGGAGTGTATATGGCTGTAATTAATTTGTAAGTACTCAAATAGTCTATAGACAAAATGAGTTTACTTGCAATCATTACAACACCATTATTCTATACCAATTCCACTAAATAATTGGTGATCTTCCAACTTCAATGTGTCGCAATGTCATTCACGCTACGCGCAAATGCGCAATATATGATGCCTTTTTCATATATCATGTGGTTTGTGTGCCCCTAATGCATTACTGTATTTAGAAAATTTTGATACATTAGTGGAGCATGGATTATTGTTCAAATTCTACATGGGTAAATTGTAAAATAATAGTGTTATATTGAAGTTATTGACTACTGGTCTACTACTGCTTTTAAGTTGACTTTTTAGATGAAATTTGGGATCTTAACATGATATCAAGCTGAGCTAGGTCCGATTATGGACACACCAATGTTGTTCAGCCATTTCAGACTGAGGGGGCGTATTGAAGTGTTTTTCTCACATGGGATTGTTATTAAATAATAAATCTCTATAAAACAATATATAGAACATTATATTAAGATCTTGACCGGACTACTTCTCTAATCAGGTTAACATTTGTAGAGGTACCCCAAGTCTTAACTTAGTATGAGAGTCAAATCGGTCTTCAATCATGGTGTGACCCCTAAGCAAATGATGATACGACTATAAAATTGAAAACAACAAACCGTCAAAAAATTAAATGATGACACGATCCATATGAAGTGCCAGACGTGAGGAGTGTTGAATCCCATTTAGGAAAATTATGAATTAATACAATGCTATAATTATGAATTGATATTTTCTTAACAATTATGTAGTTTTTTATTGACAATTACGTTAATCGTCACTTCATTATGAGTCAGAAAAAAAAAATCATTCAAGTAAAACTAATTATTTGAAATATTTCAAAGTTTCGATCTAAAAGCAGTCAAAAGATTAAAGGCTAGGTTATTTGAAATACTTGAAAGTTTCCAACATAACTAACTTCACCAAATGTAAAATTAAAATATGTGAACGGCTATGAAAAATATACTGTATATATTTGAACTATCCTAAAAGGTAGTAGTATAACACAAAAAGGTCACGCTTCCCATCATGTGATCGGACTGATTTTTCCTTCGTAATAAAATGCCGTTTTCCATGTATGGTATATATCTCATTATCTCTGCTCTTCGTAATAATGGAAGATTTATACCAGATTGTTATACTTTTCGGATTGTATTTAAAAGTCTTTTAATTTACACTTTTCCCTTTGCGTAAGTTCTCCTTAAAAATACGTAGTACTTAATCATCTTTATTTCTCTATTTTTTACCATGCACTCTCTTTCATATTTTTACACTATTTATATGCCCACTTGTGTCTTCGTTATAAAATAATTGTTGAAGTTTATTCTTCCGGGGTCCAACATGTTACCCTAGGATTTCGAGTGGAGAGTATGAAAATATGACTATATGAGGTGGAAGCAAGTAAAGATGGGCTAATATTTCTATAGCAAGTGAGCCGTATCTTATTGAGTGATAATAAGAGTCCGTATACAACACACTTCAACTACTTGGTCTGAGGCCATGCGTTTATCTCAATATAGAAGAGTTGAGAATATTTCTAAATGCTAGTAAGAATAATTTGTCAACCTTTTACGATGAAATAAATGCTACAGAGTACTATTTATACTATCAAGGAGTGTGTAGATTCACTGACGTGGAGGCCCGTGGATGGCTAGATTCCCAACCATCAAATCTTCAGCATTAAATGCGCCTCACGCCAATATCTTGGTTTTACAAGTGGCGTCTTCAGAATCTTGGATCTTCAACAGGGATGGAGCAAGTGGGTAGAGGCCGAGCGTCAGACTGCCACTTCGTACAGAGGTCGATCGTCTTTTGTCAGGACAGACGAACGGCGTATTAAGCCTTGGCCCTATTGCGGCTAATTGTTCTGGTGGGCCTTTGAATTCTGGAGACGAGCGTTTTGAGCCTTTATCTCGTTGGGCCTCGATGCTCTTAGTTAAGAGGATAATGACCGATCCCTGGTTGGGCCATTAACCCGACAGTAATATTTAAAATATAGAAGTACTTGAATACGGAGTAATGTTTAAACAGATTTGTATTCGTATTCGTATTCTATTTACTCGAATTCGAATCGGCATTTTCGAATTCGAATCACGAATCGAATCAAAATTATTCGATTCGTTTACAACCTAATCGTGGGCACGATTAGGGAGGATACTCCGTATTAAATATCGTTATTGATCGAGCATTAAGTATTGACTAAGCAATAGTCCAATGTTTACAAAGCAGGTATTTGACTAAAAATATGTACACCATCATTTATATATTGTTTTAAGTAAGAGTTGTCATCACAAGTTTTAGACAATGTGGGCTATTTTCATTTTCGATTCATCTGAAGCAGGTGCCCCTTTCAACCCCACCCGTTCCAAAGAGGGAGCCTGGAGCAGTGGAGCCAGCAATTCATTTAAGAGATGTCGTTTTTTAAATTAAATAATACATCTATGACAAGATATTGAAAATAAATTCATTGCTAATTATATGTTCCGAGTCAATTTTCAAAGTTTAAAATAGAAAAAATGGATTTTTATCAATTCGAAACCTAAAAGATAGATGAGCTATCAATTCTTCACATGAAACACAAAATGTTTCAGTATACGGTCTGAACAATTGGAAACTATCAATCTAGCACCTACATTGTTACATTGTCATCAATTTCGCTCCTCATAAGAATTCATGGATACGCCATTGTTCTCAAGCATTTGATTGATAACAAATATCCGTTAATTTTTTACACAAAACTGTTCTATTTCGTTAATCATCTGATCATAATTGGTAACTTACCAACTTACATCAATACAAGCCTATAGTATATGTAGTATGTACACGCCAAATTAGCTACAAGCTAAACTATTCTAACGATTCGCAACATAAATGTATCAGGGTTTTATGTGGAATGCTATATGGATTATGGAATTGAGATGGTGATAAAATCTTTTCACTTGTTTAGCAAAATCATTATGAAAGGCACTGTTTGAAAAAATGATTTGAAGCTTAAACATATCATCTTATTTAGAGCGGATTGTTTGTCACTGATATGCGATTATCAAACAGAAATGCGAGCAGTCAAATTATTTGAACCAAAAAACTGTACTTCACATATTTTAATAGAAAAGGAAAAATTTGAATAACAGCGGTAAAGTTGATGTAAACTTGTACTACGTAGTAAATTAAAAGGTTTAATAGAAACAAAAATGATCCTGTCCGAACGTTCGGACAGGATCCTCCGTCCGAACATCCCCGTTTGGGGCCTTTCCCGGTGGAATTTTTTGATGAAATTTTTTGAGCATGTTCCTCATCAAATCTAGTTTGTCCATACCAAATTTCTGCTTACAATTCGATCGAGAAGGCATTCAAATCATTTTTTGAAGTTGACTGCGT